TTTCTGTCTCTCTGTCTCTCTCTGTCTGTCTGGTGAGTGCACGTGCTCTACAGAAAACAAACAAACAAACAAACAAACAAGCAAAAACTCTCCAAAAAGAAATACTCCTCTCTAATAAAGATTGAGGACCTATACTGTCATTTGACTCAAAGAATTAACCTCGTGACCTGGAATCATGGGAATCTTTTTGACCTCATGTGCTTTATGGCACTTTGTGAGGACAGGGACCATGTCATTTCTTTTCAAAAGAACAGCACCTGGTGCTTGGTATATGTGTTTTTGTGTGTTTGTTTGAATGCAAAAATATCCTCCTAGTCCTAGTTCTTCTAATTCCAGGGGGAAAAACTCCAATAGTCAGAAATCGAGAGGAATTTGCTCTTTGAGTTGCTTAGAATAGGCAGGGATATCCATGTCAATGACTGTATTCCCTCAAAAACTGCCCTGTGGGCCACACAGTGGGCCCAAATGCTAGCTGGCAGCTCCAGAGACTCTCTAAAGGACACCTGCATGATGGAGGCCCACATGGCTTCACTTTTTTTTTTTTTTAAAAAAACTATTTTTTTAATTTTTTTTTTTTTTTTTTTTACTTTGATGAGAGAGATAAAGTGAGAAAGGAAGCCTCCAGGTCTAGGACTTAAGCCACAGTTGGCCATGTGAGAATCCAGCACCCTTAACCACCATGCCACCTGCAGCTCCCAGCTTCACTTTTTACAGTTTGCCCCAGAGAGCAAAACAGAAAAGATCTAATATTTTGGATGTTGCATATTGCCAGCACCAAGTGATAATAAAGCCAATAAAAATATTAATACATACGTTCTCTAGCACTATGTAAACACATATATCCTTCCCATTTTAGCAATTAATTTTACAGGAAATTTTGCCAGTCTTGAGGGTGAAAGTGTTGGGAAATCCTGAAATAGGTGGCAAACAGTGAAACCTACACTCAGATTGCTTTAGATGTAAAATCCAGTGTGTAAGGGTAGCCCTTTCCCAGTACAATATCATTAAGCATACTTTAGATGTAAAATCCAGTGTGTAAGGGTATCCCTTTCCCAGTTCATTATCATTAAGCAGAACATGAAAGCCTCACAGCCACCACAGATCCTTTCATCTACCATTAAGTATCATCTTAAAGGAGCTAAAACAAAATTACCCCTTCACAAAGCTATCAGAAGTGCCTCCTGACTTCACTGCTGTCAAATTCTTTGCCTCTTTGATGAACACTTCTAGTATTCCACCAGAGATTATGGGCGACTCTTTCTTCTTTCCCCTTTTAAGGGTCTTCTTTCCTGTATCAGTCACCAAAATGGAAGAGAGTGAGACACATGCATTTGGATAGGTCTTTTATTAGTGCTTGTTGAAAAAAAAAATGAGCAAATAATTTACCCTTTGAGGACTCTCCTGAAAAGCATATCTTTCCACAGGGTGTATAGAAATGGAATGGAAAAGACCCTGAGAGCTTCTTGGGCTACCATTCCTGCTCTCAGAACAAAAGCTAGAATGGAAGTCACGTACTAAGACTCCCAAAGAGAAAATTCTGTTAATTCTTTCCTTTGATATTTTAGTCTTATAAGTGGTCAGTTTCAGGTAGGGCCAGCTGTAGAGGCCACAGTCCAAGCACAGTTACATTTTGGGTGAGAGAAAACTGTCTCCCACTTCACACTTTTATTCTGATGAGCCATGCTCAACATGAATAATAACAACAATAAATTTACATATATGAGCTTATTTAACCATTGCAACAGTCATTTGAAGTGGGGAAACTGAGGCTGGAAGATAGTTATGTGTACAGGGTTCCAATGAAGAAGGTGATTATGAATGGGAAGACAGAGAAGGCTGCTTGTAGGAGTTGACAGAAGGAGGGCAAGAGGGGTTTGTAAATTGACTCCAGCTGGGTGATTCCTTTGCATTCTGTTTTCTCTGTCAACTTCTTCTTCAAGACGTCCTGAATAGCTCTAATGTCATAAATCTATCCAGCAGCTTCCTATCTCCTCCCCCTGACAGACTGTCCCCTCATCCTGGGGAAGATCCTCTATCTCTGGAACTGACAGGAAATAAATCTTAACATCAAGGCTGGTTTCTGAGTATGACCTCTGTCCTTTCCTTGTAAAAATCTTAGACCCTTCCCCAAATACATTATATACAACTCTCTCCAAACGGCTGTGACACCTAACACTTTATGCTTTGTTTTTATAATATGAAAGTGACATAATTCAACCAATCTCAGATTTCCATTCCCATACTTCTAGAAACAGAAAGTCATTGATCAAAATCATTGATTTTTACTTTACCTTGAAGTTGTCCTAGTGGAAGCATTGGGTTCTCCTCTGGGGGAATGTAACGTAAAACAACTGTCAGCTCTCCTTTGTATTGAAGACCAATATCAGGAGCAAACTCCACCTGGCCAAGGGGAGAAATGAAAAGAAAGAGCAATGCTTGGCTTAGTATTGCAGCCCATATTTGAATGTAAATTTACTTAGTGGCTTAAATGTGACGACCCATTCACATTTCAGCTATGTTCTTTTGTTGGTTTTGGTCTTGGTTTTTTTTTTTTTTTTTTTAGAGACAGATTTTTGCTATAGGACACTTGTACTCGCTAGAGAGACAAAAAGAGACAGAAAGTGAGAAATCAACCCCCCCCCCCTCAGGGGGAATGGCCATGCCGCAATCCCTTCTCCTCCATTCTTCTCTTGAGATTTTGGGCACACATACATACACACATACACAAGCAACCAGCCTGATTTTGAAGCCACTGGGTCTGGAACTTGAACCATGGTCGGCCAGCGATGTAACCGCTATGCTATCTGCTGGCCTCCAACTATGATGCTGTAAGATCTGCCTTAGATGTGAAAAAAGAGAGGCCAGAAAACTTTATGAAGACAACTACATGTCACTTTTAATACTGAGCGCCTGTGATGCACTGAAGACTGGCCCTGTCACTAAACATATACATATAGTTTGAGATATAAAGCAGGAATAAAGATGCCACTGAAAATAGCCTCAGAAGATACTTCTCCCTGTCTGTCTTTGATGTCTGAAATGTTTTCTAAGAGACCATGAAGGGAAAAGTAGGAAGTAATGCTGTATTCACATTGGGCGGCCAGCCACCCATTACTAAAAGCAATACTGGTAACTCAAATCATTAAAATTCAATGTGGAGAAAGTGATTCACCCAGACATTGTGGGTGGGAATATAAAATGGTATACACACTCTGCAAAACCATTTGACAGTTTCTTGTAAGACTAAACATGTAACTACTGTACAAACTGGAAGTTGTACCTTTGGGAATTTATTACAAAGAAACAAAAAATTATGCCCGTGTGAAACTTGTATGCTAACATTTCTATCAGTTTTGTTTGTAATAATAAAAAATGGAGGTAACCTAGATGCCCTTCAACATGTGAATGGTGAAATAAACTGTGATGCATCCATATCATGGAATACTAACCAGCAATAAAAAATGAATGGCAGTGGGGGGTCAGGGGACAACAGTGGCACAGCAGTAAAGTGTGACAGGGCTGACCTACATAGAGGGCTTCCAGGTTTGTATCTGGAGACTTCTTTGTGTATACTACACACATGCCTATGATTCAGAGTTGGCTGGGGCTAGGGGTGGGTCATGACGTCAAGGTCCTGTTGGGGGTTCTCTCGCTTTCATGGAAGACATGAATAAACTTACAAAAGAAAAAAAAATGGGGGCCAGCAGGTGGCATGATGATTAAGGTGCTGGATTTCCACATGGTTGACCATGGTTCAAGTCCCAGACCTGATGGCTTGAAAATCATGCCAGATGTTTGCATGCATGCCCAAAATCCCAAGAGGAGGACAGAGAAGAAGGTATTGTGGTGTGGTCATTCTCCCTGGGGGATAATTTCTCACTTTCCTTCTCTCTGCTTCTCTCTGGTGAGTGCATGCACCCTATGGCAAAAACCTAAGGAAAAAAATTAATATCAACAGGGGCATTAGGTAGATGCTGGTCAAAGAATACAATATCTTAGGAGGAATAAGCTTGAGTGAGCTATTATACAATATGATGACAATAGCTAATAATATATTTACTGTAATCTTGAAAATTGCTGAAAGAGTAGCTTTTTGTTTTATTTTGTTTTGCTTTAGGTTTTTGTTATAGAGTAAATGAAGTCGAGAGAGAGAGAAAGAGAGAGAGAGAGAGAGAGAGAGAGAGAGAGAGAGAGAGAGAAAGTGAGGAATCACCCCCCTGGGGCGATGGCCATGCTGTAATCTCTTTTCCTCCATTCTCCTCTTGGAATTTTGGGCATATACACACATATCCTCAGTTTGATTTTCAAGTTTCCCAGTCCAGTATTTGAGCTGTGCAGCTTGTCAACTGATTCAGTGTTTTAAACTCCATGCCACCTGCTGGCTTAAGTAGATTTTAAGTATTCTCATCACATAAAGATGATAATGTATGAAGTTATACATATGTTAATTCATTCAATTTAGCCATTCCAGAATGTATACATGTTTCAAAATATCTTGTTGTGGGATCAGCAGATGGCTTAATGGTTATGTCACTGGATTCCCATGTAGTTGACTGATGTTTGAGCCTTGGACCCTGTGGCTTAAAACTCATGCCAGACATGTGTGTGTATGTGCCCAAGATCCCAAGAAGAGAATGGAGGAGAAGGGATTGTGGCGTGACCATCCTCCCTGGGGGGTGATTTCTTGCTTTCTGTCTCTCTGTCTCTGTCTCTCTGGTGAGTGCACACAGTCTATAACAAAAATCTCTCTCTAAAAAACACATCATGTTGTATATGATAAATATTTGCAATTTGTATGCCAATTCAAAGTGAATTAAAATATTAAGACTAAAAATACATTGGTGTGTGTTTGTATGTGGATGATTTCTGTGGCTTTCTCTATTAACTGTCCTATTGTTCCCGATTGCTGAAAGAAGGCTTCTGCTAAACAGTAAATTCTATATCAGAAAACAATCACAGTTTCTCCAACACAAGTACAAAGGAACAATTGTGGAGAGAGAGAGATCAATCCATTTTGGAATAGAGAGGTGCCCTTTAGTCTGTTTCTGAAAGGATGGGAGAGATGACAACAGGTGAAGATGGGTTAAGAAGAACATTAGTTCAGGCTAAGAAGCTAGTATGAGCAGAACATAACAGGGGTCATGTAATGTGTTTATGGACTGGTAGGAAGTCAAGCATGATAAGGCGTTTGTGTGCAGGCGAGTTGTAGCAAGGATGATGGAAATAAGGTGTCTGATCTGGGTTCCCCAGAAGACTATAAGGCATGAATTTAAATTACAATATTTTTATTAGGAATGGTAGTGGGGAAATGGATCAATGGGTCTGAAAAGTGAAGAAAGCTTAAGGTTATACCAGGCAAAATTCCCTGGAGAGTAACTTAAAAAAAAAAAAAAAAGCTTCTGTCTTTCTTCCATGAGCAAGAGAGACACTAGGTGATGGGGGAAAAGGACACCTAACCACCTAACTGGGTTTGCATACTGCAGACCACCCCCAGCTTAGGCCAGCCCCATATCATGGGCACTTGTATGCCCAGTGTATTCAGGGAGGTCTCTAGACATGAACCTGGAACTTTCCCATATGGGACTGCCTTGCAGAGCATTGTATTACCACTTTGCAACCATCTGCAACCTATGGACAGCAACTTTTGCTCAGCCGCACAGAGGAGTTCTAGAGATGTGACAGATCACACCTTGGAGCTTTCCTAATCAGCCAAGGGACTTTGGGAGGGCATATGTTCTTTTATGCGTTAGCCATTGATCTAGGCCTCTGTCCACCTCCAGGGGACTGAAACATCCAGACTTGCTTTTCTGGCTTTTCATGCCCACACACCTAGCCCACTCCCATGGTCTGAGGGCTCCCCTCCTATGGAAACTGTCTGGTGTTGGCCGGTATGAGTGTCAGGGTGAGGGTTAGCATTTATTCAAACCGTATCCCAAAGTAGTAAAAATCATTGAGGCTATCTGAGCCAAGGAATGATACCCACTACCTCTTGCCTTCGGAAAAGAGAGAAATCCACTTTCCATTAGAGTAAGAAACAGGGAATTGCTGGTGCGTGACAGGTGTAAGGTGGGGTAATGATTACAGACAATAGTTTGCCAGAACTGCTAAGTAAGAAGAGAGCCTTTTCAGTCAGGTAATAATTCCACAGGAATTGACCTTTATTTTCTGCCTAGAGGCAGGATAAGAGAATGTTTCCTTGGAAAACCACTTAAGCTTGCTGTTGATTTTAAGAAGCCCTTGTTTTTATAATAGCACCTTCTGGGAAGGCACGAAAGGCAATTTACACCGACAAACCATTCTTAGGTAACTATGTAGCGTGCACTTCACAAGTTATAAGCTAATAAAGAATTCCACATCATGCAGTAAAATAGAAGTTATACTGTGAAACTACTTTACAGTAAGTCTGGCATCTTGAGTTCTTTGTACCAATCTTCTCATAGCCTTAGTGCTATAAGACTTAACACAAACAAAGGCAGGTATTGAGGGACATTCACTAACACAAAGGCAATAAGGCCCTACATTTTTGCATTCCCACAGTAAAAGGATGTCAATATTTCCAAATGCTTAAGGACTAGTAAATCTGATTCCCTATTACTAGGGAAGTCTGTCCCTGTAGCTTACACTTCACCTCCTCAGTCAGATAATCTACAAGAAATGTCAAGTCTCTAGGGTTTGTCTTACTACATCTGCCACGGAGTGACTATTGCATTGAAATTACTAAGACAGAAGGCTGAGAATGAAGTGGCCCCTCACATAGCTAGCAGATAATCAGTCACACAGAGTCTAGCTCAGCCTGAAGATGAGCCACTAATAATGTACGAGGTAGCATACAGAGAATGCTTTGGCACCTGTTCTTCTCCTTTTTGGAAGGTGTGGTATCTTGGAAAGTCTGAATCTTCAACCTTTCCATGACACGTGGCAGAGGAAGTGTGGCAGAGGAAGATGACATGGATCAGAGAATGCTAGCTCCAGTTGGCTTTTCCAGAAGCAGACTCTGAAGTGAGGATTCTTATCCAAATGATTTATTAAGAAAATACTCCCCAGAGAGACCAATGAAGAGGTGGGGGAAGCAGGACAGGGTCTGGTACAAACTTGTGCAAAGTTCTCCATGGAAGGCAGCTTCACTGTCACTGATGTGACAGGGGTGTTCTGGAGTGTAAGTAACATCTTGAAGTTTTTCCCACATTCAGGAAGTAGGTTTTCATATTCCACCATCCAACAATCATTGAGTAAGGGTTGCTTTGTGACACTGGGTAGGTACAAAAATTCCAAGGATCTTCTGACTCTTGGCCCATGTAGGCAAAAGCTACAGTAGGCTGAGTGCAGATTCTCAAGAGAGTCTCAGGTGAAGGCTTTCAGGGCAAAACTAACAGACATGGTTAGGAATCCCAGAGAATCTGGTAGAGGACCAATTGTATTCTGCAGACAGGGCCCACAATCAAAACGTTTCTACCTTCAGCAGGCTCAGAGAGATCCAGAGATGCTTCTCCCTTCTGATAAAAAATGAACCACCCAATGGCTATGCGGAGGTAATTACCATGGAAAATTGTAGGTCCCTAAGAACAAAAGGATGCCTCAAAGAGCTTAAGTATCATCCCAGCAAAACTCCCAACCATTTCTAGGAAATTGACAGAAAAGACACAGTTTTTCATTCCATACTGGTCTCCAAAGAGCCCTCTGTGCTTTAACTTTAACTTCATGAATCAATTTTATGTACTTATATATACTTGCTGTGTATCTCTGTTATGTATTATGTGATGTTTGACTACGATGCTCATTCATAATACACAGAATGAAGCAACTTATAGGAGACTGCTAAGTCATATTGAGTGCTATCTTTTATGGTGAGGCTTTTCTTTCAATTCCAAGAGGATTCATACTGTAATAACCAAATATTTCTTACATTAGATGTTGGGAATCATATGCTATTGTGGACTCATTTTTTATTATTTTTTTATTTTTGACAACCTTTTAATTATTATTTTTATATTACATTAAATCACATATATCCTTACAGTGTATTACATTTCTTTTTCCAGCACGATTACCATGCATATCAGTCAAGACAAAAACATTCCTATATGCATCATCATTAGCAAATAGCTTTTCATTTTTCATTTGTTATGAATGCTGAACTTCCCATCTCTATCACATTTATGTTAGTAATGGGCTTGCAATGACCTTATGTTTAAATATTTTTCAATTCTTTTCATTAATTTTACCCACAGCCAAAATAAGGTCCTTAAAGATTTTCCATGCGTTATTTATACCAACTTTCAGGTCAACAGTTACAAAACCTTACCAGAAGTTGTATTTAATTTCTGAGTCTCAGCTTTCTCACCTATAAAATGGAGATAAATGATTTTTCCCAGGGTTATTGGGAGTAAGAACTAAATAAGAACGGTGTCTCTTTTGGTGATGATATTGGGAGAAGACATCATTTGTTTTTGCTGTCTAGCTTCCCACACCATTCCTTTAGTACTATTGTACCTGCATTTCCTTTAGAGAAAGCCCATCTTCAGGACCAGAATATATTCTGATTGCTTTAAGCCAGCCAATGCATTTCACCTCCTTGGCAACACTCATTAGCTCAGTGTAGCCAAATAATGTAATTAGAAATAAGTGAACCAGGCCTAATGCATTGGTTTGACTTTTGAAGGAGGAGGAACTTCTCCTGTCCTTGAAAGTGTGATGAAGGATGAAAGACTTATGCTCAAGAGAAGCATGCCTGTAGCTAGTGGGAAACCTGAAAATGAAGCCAGTGAAAAAAAGAAACTAGATACTCCAAGACCTTGGTGAGATTTGAGCATCTGGATCAAGCCATTACCTGATCACCACAAACCAATATTCTCACTTTGTTTTTTGAGCAGCACAAGCTAGGGTTTCTGTCAATTGCAATACAAGGACTCCCATATTACATAGTATTTATTGAGAGCTTGTGATGTGCATGAGAGAAAACTGACAGTCTCATATAGCATGCTTATTCAAGCCTCACAGTAGCCAATAAGCTGTGTCCAATAATTATATTAATAATGAGAACACCATAGTCTTGGAAATTAAGAAATTTGTCCAAGATAACAAAGCCAGGGTTAAACTAAGTCTGATTTGAGTCCATATGTACCATAAAGTTCTTTTGCCTTGCTGCATATAAAGAATAATCTTTGGCTGCATAAATGTGTCCTTTTCTCACCTCCTTTTTGAATTAGAAAATTCCTATAAATGTAGAGAGATTCTAGTTGTTTAAAACATGCTATAATATATTGACTTTTAGTTCCTAGAAACATTTCCAAGATTGTTTTTGTGAATCTAAGTACTATTAGGAGTTATGAATCTCAAAAGGAGAAGGGAGGGAAATCAGATTGTTTAGTTACTGGTCACTCCCTGATGTGAGTCAAAGCAAAACTACTGTTCACAATATGAATTTTGGAGAATAATAATTGAGATAATGTTTTGAGATTTATTATGCTCTGTGGATTTGTTTTTACCTTTGCAAAAATTAAATCTTTCTCTTTGTAAATGAGTCACAGAAAATACTCCTTTTGGTTATCCATGGAGACCTTCACTTTATGAATAAATTTTTAGTAAGAAAATTAATAATTTATACAAGTAAGTGGCTTATATTATTCAATCTATATTGAAAATGAGCTTCAAAACCAATGGATTTATATTTATTTTAATATTATTCCAAAATTTGCTGCACTAATCTTTGTAGATTATCACTTGAAATTAGGAAACCTTCAAATTATTTAGACCAATGACATCAATTTTACTCATAACTTGCCTCATTGCATAACTGTTTGACTAATCTGGAAAGATTTCCTACCTTGGGCTGAAGCACAAACCATTCGTCACTTGGATTTTCAAAGTTCCATGAGTCAAAAGGAATCTCCACCTCCCCGAGGAAGCTGTTACGTCCAAATCGATCATAGTGCCAAACCGAGAGCTGCAGTGTTCTTGTTTCCAGCTGGGTATGGCTGATGGTATACTGTGAATGAGATTAACAACATCATACTCCATAAAAAGGACTCTGGTAAACTCCAGGACAGGTTGAAATTTATTTCCACCATCTTGCAGATCAGATACATTAGTAAATATGAAGAAAACAAATGCAAAACAAAACAAAAAAAATCATGATTTCTTTTTCTTTGTTTCTGCTACAACTGAAGTTCTAATCCACAAATTCATTCTGTGCCTGACATAGTGATGAAAGATACATGAACAAATTATTGGGAAGCAGAGACAATAAACTCCAGTTCCTGAATAAAACATGTTAGGTTGATGACGCTTATCCTCTTTCTGGTTTTACTTGTTTTTCATTTGCCCAATTATTTTTTCACATCTATTGTGTAAGCTCAAGGCTTAATATATTTCCTCTCCAACTTCTCTATCTTATTTTATTCATAATGAAAACATCCGAATCCAGAAAAGCATTGACAGTGAAAACGTTACAAACACCAAATTTCATAAAGCCTGACCAAAGCTGTAGAGATGAAAAGGTATAATATAGCCCACCCCCCTCATATTTGTGGTTTTGATTTCTTTGTTTTCTGTTTCCTGTGGCCAATGGCAGGATGAAAATACTAAATAAAAAAAAAATCCAGAAATAACAATCCATAAGTAGGAATTTGTAGGCCATTCTGAGTAGCATGGCAAAAATCTCACCCTGTCCTACCCCATCCATCCTTTCTTTCTTTCTTTCTTTCTTTCTTTCTTTCTTTCTTTCTTTCTTTCTTTCTTTCTTTCTTTCTTTCTTTCTCTCTCTCTCTCTCTCTCTCTCTCTTTCTTTCTTTTATTTTTAGAGGTTTTTTGCTATAGGGTGTGTGCACTTGCCAGAGAGACAGAGAGAGACAGAGAGACAGAAAGCGAGAAATCACCCCCCAGGGGGAATGGCCATGCCGCAATCCCTTCTCCTCCATTCTCCTTTCGGGATCTTGGGCTTGCACGCACACGCACCCAGCATGAGTTTTAAGCCACTGGGTCCGGGATGTGAACTGCGGTCGACTACATGGGAGTCCAGCAACATAGCCATTATGCTAACTGCTGGTCCCCCCATCTCTTCTTCATCACAGAAAGAGGATGAGCATAGTACAATAAGAAGATATCTTGAGAGTGAATAAGCATGCACATTAATATAACTTTTATTATAGTATATTATTATAATGGTTCTCTTTTGTAATTACTTGTTATTGTTAATCTCTTATGATACCTAATTTATAAATTAAACTTTATAATATCTATGGAATATGTATAGAAAAGAATATAGTACATATAGGGTTTGGTACTACCTGTGGTTTCAAGTATCCACTAGGGATCTTGAATGTATTCCTTGTGGATAAGGGAGGACTAGTGTAAATAGACTGGGCAGAAAGATTTTTCTGAGCTAGCTTTTCCTTTCAGAATCACATGCCCACACACCCGCCAACCTTCTGCTTATTTATACAGAATCACCATCTGGACACACTTCAGAATGACTGATTTCCCACTGTGGATTTGTGTCTATTCCATCCTGGCTGTTACTAGCACGATCAACTCTAGCTCTCTGTCTAAATTTACCTTGTCACTATGTTTATCTGTTCTGTATGGGTTCAACTTTGCTATCATTTTATGGCCATTAGATTCACCCTCTACCAGAATCTATAAATTGTCAGTATGAGGGCCAGTCCATGGTGTGGTGGTTAAGGTGGTTAGATCCCACATGGCCAACTATGTGGTTAGAGTCCTGGACCCAGTGGCTCGAAAAACACACCAGATATGTGTGCATGTGTGTCCAAAATCCTGAGAGGAGAATGGAGGAAAAGGGAGTGCAGTGTGGCCATGCCTCCTGGGGGCCGGGCAATTTCTCACTTCTCTCTCTCTCTCCAGTAAGCACATGTGCCCTATAGCAAACACTTAAAAAAAAAAATCTCAGTTTGATCCATCTTGATATTGGCTTCTGCTTCCACACATGCCTACACATACAGGCTCACAGCTTTTTGCCCCCTCCAATTTCCTTCTATGGTGGATTCTGACTCCATCACTCCATGCACAAGTCCATAAATTTCCCTAGAAATGGCAACAACTTCTATATTCAATTCTCCCTGGATCTTTCTTACTAGGTCAGTTTGGTCCAGGGTGAGAGAAGGGGTATTACATGAAAGTCCATCGAAAATAGAAATTTCTGTAGGACAGGACTCTGGGTCATATTTTATCTAGGTTTACTTTCTCTGTGTTTTGTCAAATCTCACTCTGCATCTCCACTGTTCATTAACCACACTCCTAAATTTAGCTAAGTTCTGAAACCCTAACAAAAAACAGCACATTTCCATGCTGTGTTAGCAGAACAATGAATGTGTACAATGTGACCTACTAAATCAGTGTCAAAACTGATGAATTTCTTTTAAAGGGTTCACAAAAAGCAGAGAGAAACATATTTTTTGACCTGATATTATCAGCTCAAATGTAACTTTGCTGGATCATCTCTACTTAAGGTGCAACTTGAGCAGCTGCAGAGAAGTAAACAGAATAAGAGTGGTTTACATTTTTTTCTTTTGTGGAAACTGTTAGAAAATCCAAGGTACTACAGCAATTTATTCAAATTTCAGTTTTCTTTATTTTTTAAAAGAATTATTTATTTAATTTTATTTATTATTAATATTATTTAGTTTGCTACAGGGTTCATTTGCTCACAAGAGAGAGAGAGCGAGAGAGAAAGGAAAAAAGCAAGCCTCCAGGTCAGGACTTGAACAGCCCTCAGCCATGTGGAAGTCCATTGCCTTAACCACCACACCACTTTCTGGCCCCCAAATTTTAGTTTTCTAAAACATGAAAAAACTGTGACATGCAAATACAAGATATTCTATAGTTACTTTTAAGCCACTGAGGTTGTAAACAGTATCATATGAGTCACTGTGAGAGAGTATTTATTTACCTTCAGTGTTTCATTGAATTCTGGATTGGTGCCTGTTCTGATTTTGGTCTTGCGCTTATTGTTTCGGGACTTGTCAGGAAGAAGGTATGACTTGACATAAATGTAAATTAAATAAAGAGATGAAAGTAATTATTGGGAAGCATCTACTTTGTAAGAAATGCTCAGGGGCTTCAGTGAATAAAAGAGACAAAGAGAATAGGCTAGTGAGCATAAGAGACAGGGCCAATGCAAATGTACTTTATATGAAGGGACACTTTAAAATACAACTCTCATCCTTCTCTAAGACAGTAGTAAAGTACAGTGGAAAGAGTCAAGGCTCTAAAGTCAAGATAACTGGTTTTGAATCATTCCTTTGAGGTTGTAGTGACCTCAAGAATTTATTTAACCTTTCCGTGCCTCAGTTTTTTCATCTCTAAAACTGGGATAATAACAGTATTTGACTCACAGCATGGTGAGCATTAAATGTGTTGACATATACAAGGAGCTGCCATATTGTATTACTTAATAAAAGTAACCTGTTATCATTATCAATGGCCTCACTAAGTTTTCTGGGGTTATATTCCTGTCTGTTCCTAGTCCTGCCTTTTTTTTTTTTTAATAGACCACAGATTAGTTTATTTTTAACACCCATCGTGCCATGAATTCATAGGGAATAGGTTCCAGTAGCTCAGGCTCCTTTCCATTGGTTCTCACAAAGTGTGCTTCTCCTCCCTGATCCCAAGATATACTATAAAGCTATGGTCATCAAAACAGCCTGGTATTGGCATAAAAACAGACATGTGGACCAATGGAAGAGAATAGAGACCCCAGAAATAACCCCCAAAGCTTATAGCCAACTGATCTTTGACAAAGGATATCAGTCAATCCATTGGGAAAAGGAAAACCTCTTTAGTAAATGGTGCTGGAAAAACTGGGTATCCACCTGCAGAAAGATGAAACTGAACCCCCATCTTTCACCATTAACAACAGTCAACTCAAAATGGATCAAAGATCTGAACCTAAGACCTCAGACAATAAAACTACTTGTGGAAAATGCTGGGGAAACTCTGGGAGACATTGGAGTAGGCAAAGACTTCTTAAATAAGACTCCCAAAGCACAGGCAATAATCCCTAAAATAGACAAGTGGGACTATATTAGACTAAGAAGTTTCTGCACAGCAAAGGACACAGTAACAAGTGTGAACTGACAACCCTCAGAATGGGAAAATATTTTTGTTAAATATGCCTCAGACAAGGGACTGATAACCAGAATACATAGGGAACTCAAGTGCCTTATGCGAAAAAAAATGATTAACCCGATTAAAAGATGGGAAAGTGAGCTGAACAAAAGTCTCTCTAAGGAAGACATACGAACAGCCAAAAAGCATATGAGGAAATGCTCGACATCCCTCATCATAAGGGAAATGCAGATAAAAACCACAATGAGATACCACCTAACCCCTGTCAGAATGGCAAAGATTAAGAATATAAAAAGTGATAAGTGTTGGCGGGGATGTGGTGAAAAGGGAACCCTCCTCCACTGTTGGTGGGAATGTAAACTAGTTCAACCACTGTGGAGAACAATATGGAGGTTCCTCAAAGATCTACAAATAGAACTACCATTTGATCCAGCAATCCCACTTCTGGGTATTTACCCAAAAGACAGGAGAACGCTCAGTCAGAAAAGTGCTTGCACATCCATGTTTATTGCAGCATTATTCACAATTGCCAAGACATGGAACCAACCTAAATGTCCACAAACTGATGAATGGATTGGAAAAGTGTGGTATATATACTCTATGGAATACTACTCAGCCATAAAAAATAACAAGACCCTGGAATTTGATAGAAAATGGTCAGATATGGAGGATCTATTGCTGAGTGAAGTAAGCCAGGCTATGAAAGAAAGATATTGTATGTATCCACTCAATATATACCGACTATCCGCACTCTATAATAGAGAGCAAAAATTCGGAGGACATAAACACAGTGAAGGTACTTAATGAGAATAGGACAGTGTGGAATGGGGTAAGTGAAGAGAAGAGGATAGAGAAAGATAGCAAGTGAACAATAGAGAGACAGGACGTTAGTGAGAAACAGATAGGGGTTATTAACTGTTGATGATGACATGTATAGTATTCTCAACTGGATTGGTCTGAGAAGTATTTCATGATGGGCAAAGTATTTTTACAAGCAAAACGAGAAATAACAATTGACTGTTTTATAAAAATAATTAGAATAATAAAAATAATGATTGGGGAAAACAGAAAAGATATTGAATGTTGAAGTGGGGAGATTAATGTCTCTGTACTGACTGACATGCATGGCATTCCCTTTTGAAAAAACAATGTAATACAATGTAAAGTTATATGTAATCCAATGTAATATAAAGAAGATTATGATGATAATAAAAAAGAAAAAAAAGAGAAAAATAAATAAAAACCAGTTGTTCTATTGCCTGAAATAGTTCACAATAGTGTGTATCTGTTCATTTAACTGTCATCAAAAGAGCACGTTGTCTAAAAAAAGGAACTGACTGGTGTGCAACATGTTTATAATCTTCTATCAAACTATAGTTTATCATTAGTTTGTATCTGTAAGTTATTGTGATAAATACCACCTGTAGTTTTTTTAAAAAAAAAAACTAATGATGCTAGATTAAAAATAAAAACAAGATTTCTTAATAGTTTTAAAATCTAAGTAGATAGTAAGACATTAAACATGTCAAAATCTTAAGTGAAGATCAGTAAGCAGAGCAGATTATAAAAGGTTCTTGGGCCCTGGCCCAATCAGGAATATCTTAAGACGTAATTTTCAGGCTGCTCAGAGGAAACAAAGTCCATGACCACCGAAGAGTGTGATAGCAGATCTTTCCCTAAT